CAAATGGGAATGTGAAAAACAAAACGTTCTTCTAAAAGTAAGAAAGATGAGGGATCTGATTTTTATTATCTCTTAATTCCCTTTTTCCATGAATTTTATGAAGTCTCCTTGTAATGATCTAAAAATTGCTTCACCTTGAGAATCTGGTTGTTTATTATTTACGGACGTGCCTAAGATCATATTCTCCAACTGATTAACTCATAAAAAGATGGTCTCTAATAAGTGAATTCTTTTTATCTCCACATCCAGTAGATCATTGTGGCGCTGCGGGATAAAACACTGGACCATTAAGCTATGAATTGGAACAGACTCGACAGCACTTAATATGTTGTTAAGCACCGCTAAGTTGGTTCCGACCCATAATAATCCTGTATACAGTTTGCAAGGAGCAGCTGGTGAGCTTGAACCAGTGATCTGCTGGTTCAAACCAACTTTGCAATCCAGCACATTAGCACACAGAGCCAAACCAGGACTCCACCTGGCCAACATACACTTCCTATAATCCAACTGGTTCTGTGACACATTCTATCAAGTTTCTTGTTCGAGAAAGTTTACAGCCCCTTGAAGGTTAATGTTGTTGTTGTTAAGTGACATCAGGTTGGTTCCAACTCATAGCGACCCCGTATTTATTGGGTTTTGGAGCCGTTTCTGCTGCCTAACGACCCTACATAGGGTTTCCAAGGAGTAGCTGGCGGGTTTGAACGACTGACCTACTGTTCAAGCCAACTCTGCGGTTCAGTGCTTATCCTACAGCGCTCCATTATTTAATCATCCAAAAGCAAAGATTTAAACACTAATCACAGAAAAATTCACTGATTTTCTATAAAAGGTATTTTATGAAATGTGAAGGAAACCTGCATGTGAGCAGTTTAAAAGTTTCTAGATTCATTAAACTAACGATGTTTGGGGGCCTAGCCATTTATCAGCAGTTGACATAAAAAAGGACTTCTGGCGTGGTACTGGACTGCAAATCACAAGTTTAAACACACCAGCTGCTCCTCAGAAACCTTATAGAGTCACGACGAGTCACAATTGACTTGACAGCACTTAAACAACAAAAATATTTTTTGGATTTCTTAAATTGTATGTGGCTTAGGAGATAAAAAGTAGGCTCTACTTTTTATCCATATCATTAGCAGAATAAAAATTTATTGGTATCACTACAAATTCAGGGTATTTTAACCATTTAAAAAAAGTTACATGCCCTTTAGTACAATTTAACAAGAAAATAAGAGACTAAATACAAACTAGCTTAAGACATTATTCAAACATTTAATGTATCAATTTATTGCATATGTCAGTACAGAAAAATAGAAAGTATATTTTAAAAGAAATGTATTGTAAAAAAAATGTAAATGTTTGCTTGCCATGGTTAGCACATAATTGACTATAACATTTAAATTTTAGTTATAAAACTATTACTGCTTGAAATAAGATGGCAAATAACAAAAATATGATTTATTGGAACTGAAATCTTATTGTACCCTGACCATACTTAAGTATGCTGAAAACATTATATGCTATACTGACAAAAATGATTTATTTTTCACACAGTACACTCATCCCTGTTACATATGTATATATGGCACTTTGTAAAAAAAAAAAAAAAAAGTTTATCATACACAGTCCTATTTTCAAATCTATAATTTTTAAAATACAAAATATAAATGGAGGTATATTTGTGCCATTTGGCAAAAATGTGTTCACTGTTACTTAAGATGACTATTTGCATTAACTTTACCATACAAGTGAATATATTATTTATGATTAGCTAAAATGTTGATGTGCATATCTGTACAAATATGAATAAACAGAGTACTTTATATTTTCTACTCTGTTGATTTCAAAAAATAGATGTCTGTGCTCTGTCATTTCCAACTTTACCTGAGTGATATGAAAATACATAATTTTAGTGGATAATCTGAAAGCATTGACTTTAGTTTTCTAAAAATAGTTGTCAAACATAATAGAACAAGGAAGAGGGATAAGTGGACGATTCCATTGCTCTCAAACAAGACCTAAATGCCAAAATGACTTGTTACACCCTTACAAGTGTAAATGCCTAATCTCAAGGACAGCGGGGACTCACTAACATAAATTACAGTTAAGCTGTCAGAGCTTGCAAGATAAATTATATAAAATTAAATATGACCTCTTATTAATTCTACCAACCAAACCTATTCTTCCCTCAAATCAAATTTTATAAATGTAATAAATGTCTACATCAGCAACACGTGGTAGGAGTTCTCAAAGAGATGTATTAGAATGTAAATACTCCAGAATAAAACTACTGAAGCTGGAATGTGTACATTGTAGTTTATCATGATAAAGTATATTTAAGCTCTCCTGTAACAAAATGTGTCCTTGCCATCAAGCTGATGGTCACGCATGCAAATCCAACACGTGCAGAACAGAACTGCTCCCTAGGGTTTCCAAGGTTGTGACCTTCTGGAAGCAGGTTGCAAGGTCTGTTTTCTGAGGTGCCTCTGGGTGAATTTAAACAACCAACCTTCCAGCAAATAGTTAAGTGCTTAACCATTTGCACCACCCAGGGATTCCTAACAAGATTTTGAATATCATTTTAATGAAAAAATATCAATTTTTAAGTATTTGTAAAAACACAGGATAGTTATACTGAAATACCTATTACTTTGTTATATTTTATATTTTGCTTTGCACTGTTATTTCAGCTTTTTCCAATCTCCTCAGATAATTATTTGCTTTACCTAAATTTTGTAACTGCTTCACACTTCCTTTTCTAGTTGTTGTTTTTTTTTTTTCAATTTTTACTCTCAACAATTCCCTTAATACATGGACTTTGGATTTTGTCTTAAACCAATTGTGTCTTCCTGTATTTAAGATCATTCCATGTTTGCCAAACATACAGAATATCATTGTTGCTGTTAAGTGTTGTCAAGTTGGTTCCGACTCATAGTGATCCTGTACAGGGTTTCTGAGGAGCAGCTGGTGAATGAGAACTGCCGACCTTGTGGTGCAAATAGACCTTGCAGACCAGTGCATAAAATTTATATATATACTCCTATAGCTATTCTGGCAAAATGTGTCAAAAATTAATTTACAAGATAGATACATTTCCATTATCACTAAGAGATGGGCTCAAAATGAAGGAGTAATTCATGCAGAATCCATGTTTTGGCCGAGTGCCCTGATCATGGCATTAGAAAAGCTTTGAAAAAATGATGTCATGGGCAAATGGACACCTGATAATAGGAGTTGTCTTCCTTCCCCATGTTATCTGAGGAAAAAATTTCAAACAGAAGCTAGGAAAGAAAGATGTGATTCTAGACACAATCTACTCCCTTTGCTGCGAAAGGGCTCTTGAACTGTATGCTCTAAGATGAGATTCAAGTATAGGGCAGGTAGAAAGGTACTCCTCCACAACTTCACTCTGAGCATTTAAAAAAAAAAAAAAAGCTTAAATCTGGCCTATTAAAAAGAAAGCAAAACACTGGTAAGAAAAAGTAATTTTGCTTCCTAAGCCTAGGAGTTACAAATACTCTGCTCCATTCCCCCACTGCTAAGTACCCTAAGGGATCACAGGAGAACATGGGGGTGGGGTGGGGGGCAGGGGAGTATTTTGTAAACTTTAAAGAATGTTACAAAGATAAGGTGTATTAGAGAAGGTCATTTCTAAATATACATTTTGTTGTATTAATTTGTTTTTCTTTTAATACATTACTACTTCAGATAATCATTCTACATAACAATAGTTTGACAAGATGAAAAGTAGCCTTTAATTTTAGTGAATTTATACATACAAAATACACCTTTCATGATATGTTACCAACTTTTTTAAAAAGCAAGACTTTAGACAATCATTTATAGAAAAACATTATTCTTTAGAAATTATACTTACTGTAATTTATTTTTTCTAAATACTGACATGAAGTGATTAAGAATGTTGTTTGGCAAAAGTATTTCTAGCCCTATCTCCATGAAAGGAGTTTTAAAGTCAAGATTACTGACTCATTATTTCTCTGCACTAGCTGCTTGAAAAAAGCTAATAAATACAGCTAAAATATTTAAAATATTATATTGTAAAGCTGACAATAACAATGTACAGATCTCAATTACATCTAATTTTTGAAGACCACTTGAAACACCTTAGCATGATTATGCCTCAGACCTAATATTTTTATTAAGATACATCCTGCAAGTTTAAAAGTCCTTTTTTTGTTTTTTTTTAAACGTTTGTCAGACCTTTCAATATACGAAAAACACTACTTCACACTTACAGCCACTTGACTGTCAAATGTGCTAACAGGTTCTGTGTTAAAAATCTCTAGCTAGCCCTCATTTCCACAATCCTACATATAAAAAAATAAATAGACTTTGTAAAGACAATCTGTCTTTTGGTCCAAGAGTTCTTCTGCTTAATAATAAATAAAACATTAAACCAAAAAACAAGTGTTTTTTGTTTTTTTGTTATTTTAACTTTTATTTTCGCTAAGCCCAATAAATACCTTGGTTTCAGTGGGTTAGAAAGAACTAGATATTGGGATTTACAAATCAAATATGGGAATTTTTGTAAAATAAATGAAAAAGGAGTTCTGGTAGCATAGTGGTTACGAATTGGGCTGCAAACCTTAAGGTCAGCAGTTCGAAACTACCAGCGGTTCCACGGGAGAAAGATGAGGCTTTCTGCTCCCATACAGATTTACAGCCTCGGAAACCCTGTACAGGATCGCTATGGGTCGGAACCGACTCCACGGCACATAACCACCACCACCACCACCATCACAGTCATGAAATAAGAATTCCTAATTATTCAGAAAGTTCTAATCTTCATTACAGCTGCTACCTACCACTGGTTCAGCTTGTGGATTTAAAAAATGGACATATGCTAAAATTCTCGATGCCACCAGTTACAAATATTAAAAAGTTCAAAAATGTACATTGACGCTGCAGTAAATTCTATGTTTCTATTGTTACATGCCATAATCCAGACCTGTACCTAACAAAAACACGGTACATATATGTTGGAAAATGGGGTACCATTTATTTGTAAGAAAAACTGAATGTCAGCATTCACCAGAGCAAGATCCAATGGCAACCTGCACATAGGCCTCAATTTCACTTCTTGCAAAAAAACAAAAAAAACAAAAAACAAACTGTTTACATAAAAATAGATATAACCCAGGTAACAATGTGCACCAGTATATGACCAGTGCTATTTACATTTAAAATGTTGCATTGCATAATTCAAGGAATAAAATACCGTCATGCATTTCATATTAACGTTTAATGTGAAAAATGCAGTTACAGAACTAAGTTTGCTTACCATGATTGTCCCAAGATTTTCTAAAGGAGTAACACCCAAAGTTTCTGGTTTACCCATCTCCTTCCACTCTCAGCAACAAATCTAAGTGTAACATAGATTATACCTTTTTTTAGCAACAAGAAAACTTCTGAGTAGTCTCTTACTGGCATATTAAACTAAAGATACGGATACATAACCACATCGAAAGTTTCGATGAAAATGTATGAAATAATCCCAAGAACTATATTTTTTCAAATTTAAAAAACTATTTGGATCATCATAAAGAAGCACTGAAGTCCATTCAAAATTTAATATCGCTCTCCAGATAAGAACAGATGTAACACTCCTGAAAAGGAACATTCTTTTTCATTCTGCAGAAATTAAAATACAGCGCATTCATCAAAAAGGGATACATTATATAATTGTAACATTAGAAGACGTTTTTGCCATCTCTTCTGGAGAATGACTCTTGATGACTTCTTTAATGAACTGTTCCAGTGCGGTGAAATAGCCTTGGCACTGCCACGTATCATTGTGAGTTCCATCTGGGAAAATGGCTAATCTCTTAGTCCGAGATGGAGAAAGTTCGTAAAGCTGCTTCATCATTACTGGTGGAATTAGTTGGTCAGAAAGTCCCGAGATGAAAAGAGAAGGCATTCTGCACTGAGAGATTTTTCTATAGGACAGAAATTTATTTTTGTAGCACCACAATGGAAGGTAACGCATTGGAAAGAATGAAAATAAAGTGCTGGCCATATGTGGTATGCTTAAAAATGTGTTCTCCACCATAATGGCTGAAATCCTATGTGCATTTTCAGAAGCCAAATGAATAGCCACTGCTCCTCCCAACGAACGACCAAAGAGAAAAATTTTTGTTTTATCTAGGTCAGGTCTCGTCATCACATAATCTAGCACAGCTTCAGAATCTAAGCAGAGTCCTTCTTCACTTGCTTCTCCTTCGCTTTTTCCATATCCTCGATAATCAACAAGCAAAAGATTAACTTTGAGGTTAACCAACATAAGCAATGCATTTGGTAGCCTATGGCCTACATTGCCTGCATTGCCGTGAAAATAAATTATAGTTGGGGAATAGGGTGAATTGTCTCCAGTGTATCTTATCAAAATAAGATTTAGACAGACGCCATCTTTGGTTCTGATGAAAATGTTTTCATGTGGAATACCAGTGGGCATGGGAACATAAAGGCGTGAAGAAGATGGCTGTTCTGGAAAATAAAGCAATACATCTTGAAATTTATAAAGAATACCGGCTATTGATATAAATATCAACAAAAGTAAGATAATGCCTCCATACAGATGAAAAGTCACTATTAAAGGTAAAAGAGAAATACGGCAGAGCGCCCAAGACCATGAAGCTAAGGCTATTAGCCATCTTTCAACAAAGTTCCACAGCATCCATGACTTTTCCATTGTAGCTCTCCGTGAATTATTATCCCATATGTACCCTAAAGAGAGAGAGAGAGACATAACCATCATCAATTCGATATCTGTATAGGATACAATGACTTATGGTAACAGCAGGTGAATCTTACAAATTTACATCAAACTATGTATAAAATTAGGTCTCCTGGTGCGGTACTGTAGGATCAGCAATCGACTGAGAACCACAGGTCAGTAGTTTAAACACACCAGTTGCTCCTCAGAAACCCTATACAGGATAGCTATGAGTCAGAACTGACTTGATGGCACAATCATCTTAGTAACCGATTTAGTAACAATAGCATGCACAAAACTGGGTGCTATAACTGTCCGTCCCTTTTGCTTCCTTCTATTGTCACATTTATGAAACGTAAATTTTACCAATTTATGCTTTCTTGTACTTTCAAAATGCTTATTTGATGCCAGATACTTTCATTAACGTGATCTTATCAATCTGATAGAAAACTACATTGATGCACTTCCCTGCTCATGCAATATGTAAGGGCACATGTGACCTGCCCATGGTCCCAGGTCTACAAACAGCAGACAAGCACGATTCTAAATCTCACGGTGCATTACTACTAAGGGATGTATTTGGGGGCCACATGCTCTTAAAACAGTGGTTCTAAAGTATCAAGCCCAAGCCAATATAATGTACTGTCATTTTTCCTTTTCATACTATAGAAACAGTTTATAATTAACAAACTGGATAATAAAGAGTAAAAATATCCTCTCCTCAACCTGGATGGCTTCACATCTAAACTTAAAAATAATCTAACCACTAAATTTTAGTATGGTTTTAAGAAAATAAAGAATGGTGTCTTTCAATCTGATTAAGAAGAAATTTCAATGTCTAAATTGCCCATCCGTCAACCCTGTGAACTGAGCGGGTGGGAGTGATCCTTTCTGTAAAGATGTGTTCCCTTTTCTGAGCTACTACATCCATTCATATAGGTAAAGCTCATCAAATTGTAGTGGGTTACTTTTTTTTTTTTTTCCTTCACCTCTTCCCTCTTTTTTCTTCTTCTAGTTGAGTTATGATCATCCAGCCATCGAAGCCAGTTCAAGTGGGTACTATGGGTGTTCTTGTGCATCTCCCCTCACTTCACATCAGCTGGACACTAGCGGAGGTCCCTGGGACCATCAAGTGAAAAGAATGGAGAGCGTGACCCTACCCAGAGAGGCAGTGACGCAACAGATGGAGACAGAGACGATGTCGTGGGCAGATGGAG